TAAGGCTCTTTGAGGACTTGGGCTTGGTTAATCAAAAGCAGGAAATTTAGGAGGGAAGCAGTGATGTGGATGAGTGTTTGCTCAGCCTGACATTCTGGGGTGGGGGACAGAGGATTGTAGGTGGGCGGATGGTAGGGGGCCAAGTATGAGGAAGCCCTGGGAACACCTGAAGAAACAATAGTAAACTTTGCAAGGGAAAGCAACAACAATAAAAAGTTTCAAAACGTTCTTACTTCCAATAACCCATAATTTCTCAGCGTCAACTAGGAAGTCACTTTAATGAACCAGCCAGTTCAGAGAACTGTGTTTCTTTTCTTTTTCTTTTTTTTTTTCTTTTACTAGAACCGGCACCCATATGAATGCTGGCACTGCAGGCAGCAGCTTTACCCGCTATGCCACAGTGCCAGCCCCAAACTGTGTTTCTTAAAAATGATAATAATAAAGGGTATTTATTTAAAAGGCAGAGATATGGAGAAGTTGGAAGAGACAGACAGAAAGAGATCTGCCATCCCTGTCCACTTCCCATATCGCCACAACAGCCAGGGCTGGGCCAGGCTGAAGCTGGGAGCCTGGAATTCCAACTGGGTCTCCCACGTGAGTGGCAGGGGCCCAAGGACCCGGTCCATCTTCCTCTGTTTTCCCAGGCACACTAGCAGGGAGTTGGATCAGAAGTGGAGCAGCCAGTACTCAAGCCTATGGGATGCCAGTGTTTCAGGCTGCGATTTAAGCCACTGTGCCAAAATGTGGCCCCAGTCAACTGCATTTCTTACTGTATCTACTTCCTACTTCCAGAAACCCCAGCGACAGAGCACAGGATGACACAGAAGTGCTTTGAGAAACTCCTAGCTGTCATTCAAACCTGAATAAGATGAACACTGTCAGCTTCATCACACATTTGTCTACTCTCTTGGTCAGAGATGGCTGGCTCACAAGACACCCAGACCATTTGCAGTAAGTAAGCCAAAGAAGAGCTACTGGGTTCTGTTGCAAGCTTGGAGACACATAGTATCCTGCAGGTCTCTGAGGGTCTGGGATCAGATGGCAAAAGCACAGGAGGAAACCAAGCACACAAATACAGACATTCTTGTCATGCCAATCTGACATACAGTTGGGAGGCCCTGATGGAAAATGCTCAGGTCCAGGGCCTGCTCCACTAGGCCTGCTAGGCCAGTCCGACAAAAGTCCTGCTATGCTTTTGAAGGAAACTAACCTAACCCAGCTACTGATGAAACTGCCCACTATGAAATTAAGACTAGCTATACTCAGTAGCTGCCACCACACTGGGTCAGAGCTGCCGCCCAGTGCTGCAAATGCTAATTAGCTTTCTTTCAAAAGAGGGTGTGAAGATTTACCCTTCGGTGATAAAGCGCTCAGCTTTCCTTTCTTTGGCCATAGCAGGTGTCATCTTTGGTCTCCACCTGGATTACAACCCTAACTTCTGGTAGGTTGTTTCTTATCCTTACTGTGCTCTGACATGACAAAGAGCCCAGGTGTGGTGGGAGACACACGAAGGTCTCCTGCTGTGGCTGGATACCCCCTCATGGCCGTGTGCCATAGTCTTTCTTCCTGGGGACAGGGGATGGGTAGACGGTAACTATGAACAAGGCTCTACCCCAAGGCCCGCAGAGCTCTGTGTGTGTGTCCACAGCTGCACAGACATTCACCCTGCCGCTGGACAGCAAGGGCTCTCAACCTTGAGCAGGTGGCTACAGCTTGGGACAGCTCAGAGGAATGAGCCCCGCTCCCAGGGTTTCTGAATCCCTAGGTCTCTGGTGAGACCCAAGAATTTGCAAGTCAACAACTTCCTGGGTAATACAGCTGCTGGTGGTCTGCAGACCACACTGTGAGAACCACTGGGAAACCCACCACCTGCCTCATCCCTTCCAGTCTAGAAATCCTAACGGAAGTGACAGCCAATCACAGCTGCCTTCAGCTTCCTTCACCTTAACTGGGAACCAAAGGGACAAGCCCCTTGCAAACTGGCCAGAATTATTATTATCCTTATTTTGAACAATTTATTTATATTTATTTGAAAGGCAGAGTTAGAGAGAGAGAGAGAGAGAGAGAGAGAGATCCTCCATCTGCTGGTTCACACCACAAATGGCAGGAACAGCCAGGGCTGGGCTAAAGAGAAGCCAGGAGCTTCATCCCAGCCTTCCATGTGGGTGCAGGGGCCTGAACACTTGGGCCATCTTCTGCTGCCTTCCCAGGCTCATCAGCAGGGAGCTGGATGGGAAGTGGAGCAGCCAGGACTTGCACTGGCAGCTGTACGGGACGCTGGGGTCGTAGGTGATGGCTTTACCCTTTCCTGACAACAGCAGCCCTCGGAATTCTTCTTGAGGTGGCATGGCTTCTAGCCAACTTTCTGTCTGCCTACTGAGAACTGGTCTGGACTTCTCTTGCCACAAGGAGGAAAGAGTCCAGTCTTGTCCTCGTGGCCTCTCCATTGTCCAAGGGAGAGCAACCAAGGCCATGTTGCCTGCAAAGGGATTCTGACTGGCCAGCTTGGGTCATGTGACTCCTGCCCATGGGAACAGTCTCTCCATGAAGAGTCAGGGACAGGGCAGGCAAATGCACAAAATGTCTGCCTCACTCACAGACCCCAGTGTTCTCCTCCCTGAGGTCTCTCACCTGACACACCAACAGTGAGAGGCCTCATTTCTGTTGGTGAGCTGTGCATGGCTTTAAGGAAACAGGCATATGCCATCTCCCCCAGGTGCACCGGCACTCACTGAGCATCAGTGAAGTGTGTACCAAGTACCAGGAAGCAGAGAGCAACTACCAGAGCTGGAATCAGGCATCACACTGCTTTGCCACAAACCCTGGCCACGTTACCCCTGCTCCTACCTCAGGGAAGGTTGCAGGCATCCAAGGGCTTAACCATGATTGCATTCATCACACTTCCCAGGCAACCTTCTCATCATTCTGCATGAATACACCCACTGACTTCTCACAGTGTACCTACAAGTATAGCGTTGGGATCATCCATCTTTGAATGAAAAACAGTGAGACTTGGGTAAGGAAATCTGCTTACAGGATTAGAACCACAGGGCTGTCTGGTGCTAAAACCCTGGGTGCTAACCACCAGGCAAGACTCTCTCTCCAGATTACAAGTGCCAGAGATACTATGCTGTTCACTAGCAAATACACTATATATCACTCGATAATATGCTCACAATATATAAAGATGGGCATGAGCAAGTAAGTGTGTGTGTGTGATTAAAACCAGCCTTGCAGCTGACAGTTTGCAAGCAGTCCATAGTGCTGCCAGCGGAGTATAAACAACTTCCACGGGATATACAAAATATTCAGACAAAAACACTGGCGACCAGGGTGAAATAAGACAGACACATGACCACTTTATAATTCTGTCTAAACCTAATTAGCGACAGGAAGACTCTGTCACCACAAAATTGACTAATGACCATCTCCTGCTCCTTTGTTGGTGACAATGTTAGCCTGTTTCATTCTCCTGCTTCCTACATGTCAATCCCCAAGACATTCAATGACAGACTGACCCCAACTTCCTAGTGACATCCAACCTAGAACTCTATTCCACATCCCTCAGCCCTCCTCGGATAACCCAATAAGCCTTCTGAAACCCTCCCACGCTCTTCCCTGCTCACAGTTAAAGGAACAGAAGCTTGTCTGCCTCACATGTGTTCCTGGAGTTTGATTGGTGGGCTTCAAACACACATACACACACACACACACACACACACACACACACACAAATGCACAAGCCAATTAAAAAATTCCATGTTCATTTTATTTACTGATACACCTTCTATTTATTTACTTATTATTACTCATCTTCCATCTGCCTGTTCGCTTCCCAAATGCTGCTCCCCAGATGGTGGTCTCAGTTACCCCTGTCCTTACTCATTCAGAGGGTGGGGCACTGCCCCCTCCCCAGATGGTGATCTCAGCTGCTCCTCTGTCCTTCACCTGTGCTGAACCATTCTGGATTTCCAGAACCTCAAGGTCAAGATTCAGTTTCTTTGGGGAAAACCATAGGACCAGGACTAATATTCCAGCACTCTGCTCGAGCACGAAGCTCCAGATCGAAGCAAGGATTAGAAATGTCTAAGGAGACGTTGGCCTTCAAGACCTCAGAATGCAGCTGCACACTGCAATCCCAACGTTCACCGTGTGTGGGGCAGTCTCATGAGGAGGCAGAGGAGGTACCGATGTTGAATGTGAAGCAGAGACAGAAAACGGAATTCTTCCTGTGGCAAAGGGGAAAGAGCCTGGTCTCGGGGGCAGCATCTCCGCGTGGCTCTGCCAGTGTGGCCAGGATGACCTTGAGCTGAGGCTGCAAAATGAAGAGATGGGACAAGACAGACTGTGTTCCCACCTGGGCTCCCAAAGCCCCCACCCTGAGCCATGTGGAGACCACTCAGGAGGACCTGAGAGGGTCCAGAATAGTCCCCTGTCCCCACTGCCCAACACCACTACACTCATCTCATAAGCATTGATTCTCCTAAGGTAGACTGAGTTTGAAGAAGGACTTTGACTGATTAAGAAACAAGAGCAGTTAGCAAAACCACTGGGCTAAATAAATCCTTGATGCCCACAGCTTTATGTCAAGAAACAAATTGTGACCGTCGCCGTGGCTCAATAGGCTGATCCTCCGCCTGCGGCGCCAGTACCCTGGGTTGTAGTCCTGGTCAGGGCGCCGGATTCTGTCCCGGTTGCTCCTCTTCCAGTCCAGCTCTCTGCTGTGGCACAGGAAGGCAGTGGAGGATGGCCCAGGTTCTTGGGCCCTGCACCTGTGTGGGACACCGGGAGAGGCGCCTGGCTCCTGGCTTCGGATCTGTGCAGTATGCCGGCCGCAGTGCACTGGCCGCAGCGGCCACTAGGGGGGTGAACCAACGGAAAAGGAGGACCTTTCTCTCTGTCTCTCTCTCTCTCACTGTCCACTCTGCCTGTCAAGAAAAAAAAAAAAAAAAAAAAAAAAAAAAAAAAAAAAAAAAAAACAAGTTATTACCCATAAAAGAAAAAACAACAGTTCAGTCCATTCTTCAAAACTTAGAGGTCAACACTCTGCTGACCACTCCCTGGGGGCTACTGGTTGAAGGTCCTCTCACTCACAAGGAACCTGCCTGGAAAGTCAGATGGATGGATGGATGGATGGACGGATTATAGAATACTACTACTATATCAGCCCGATTTTAACAACTAAGTAGGAATATTCATCAGGAAGAATAAATAGGGGGCGTCAGGTGCCATTGAAACATGGACAGGAGGTGTTTTTGCCTCAATGGCCACAGGTGCTTTAGAAGCATAGGGCCAGCCCTGCCAAGCACCGGGTCCTGAGTGTAGGGATGCTGGTGGACTGGGGAGGTCAGAGGAGGGTGTGGAGTACCCCAGAATGGTGGGAGTTGAGAGAAGAGAGAAGCATGAGATTAGGGTTCGTGGTTGAAGCTGGGCAGTGGAGTAGGACCCATTAACTAGAGGATCCAAGAACAGTGAGAAAGAGGGTGCTTGTCAAGAGCGCTTATGGTCAGCTGACAGCCAATTTGGAAAGGAAAACGGAGAAGTTGGCTCTGCCATCACAGGATTTCTATTTCTCATATTTTTAATACTACCAAAGTCTCACATTCGTACAGGAGAGGGCCCAAATGAGGACGAAGTTAATGCAAAACAAACACACAAGTGCAGTCAGGCCCCAGAATCAGGGGGAGGATGGTGTCAGGCCCCCAGCCCGGGCTTCCTCACCCCCAAATCCCACCCCCCATCCTGCTTCCGACGCCATGAATCAATGTTTCTTATTCTCACACTTCAGGTAAGGAATTCAAGCACAGAAACAGGCGCGCTGCACTTGGCTTCCAACATTCGGCACTCCGTGTGTGAGCTCCATTCCTGTCGTGGCATGCAACCGCACTTCTTTCATTCTCGCCACTGTGGTAACAGTACCAGACAAGTAGCACACAAACTATTGATCAATTCTGCCGAGGAGCCTCTGCAGGATTTTCAGTTTGGGAAAACTCTAAATAATGCTACTGAGATCCTTCTACTACATGTCTTCTTATCTTTTTTTTTTTTTTTAAATAGTGCTACTTTTACTTATTTCTTCAATTATTTTCACTTTATTTGAAAGGCAGAGAGATAAAAAAAAATCTTTCATCTGCTGGTTCACTCCCCCCAAATTCTGCGAACAGCCAGAGCTGGGCTGGGTCAAAGCCAGAGCCAGGAACTCCATCCAGGTCTCCCATATGGGTGGCAGGAACCCAGGTATTTGGGCCGTCACTTACTGCCTCCGAGGGTGCGCATTAGCAGGAAGCTGGGTCAGAAGCAGAGGACCCAGCGCTAGAACAGGCACTCTGCTACGGATTTGTGGGTGCATGAAGTGGTGTCTTTAACGGCCGTGCCAAACACCCAACCCTAGGACACACATGGCCTTCCAATGCACAAAAGCCTCCATTTCTATTAGGTTTTTTCCTAGGCATGGACTTGCTGGGTCATAGGACACATACATGCTCTGCTTTCTTAGATGTAACAGTGCATAGCAAAGTGGTCATGTCAATCACACGTCCACCAGCAGTGCACAAGAGTACATGGACCTTTTAGGTTTTTTTTGGGGGGGGGTGTTTAAAAAGATTATTTGAAAGACAGAGTTATAGGAAGTGAGAGAGAGAGACAGAAAGAGATCGTCCATCTGCTGGTCCACTCCCCCAGTGGCCCCAACGGCCAGGGCTGGGCCAGGCTGAAGCCAGGGGCAGGAGCTTCATTGGGTTTTCCCACATAGGCTACGGGCACCTGAGTTCTTGGCCATCATCTGCTGTTCTCCTAGGCACATCAGCAGGGAGCTGGATCGGAAGTGGAGCAGCTGGGACTTGAACTCACCGTGCTACAACACCAGTCCCCAAGTTTTTAACCCATACGTCTTACAAAAAGGATGAGGATGAGGACCTCCATGGCTCAGCACAAATGATCTGTCTTCTGTAAGTCACTGGAGAATGCCAGCAGAGGTGACACAAGCTCTGGCATCTCTTGAAGGCTGTGAGAGACAAAGTCATGCACAGGCAGGCTCTGGCTGTGCCTGAGGCAGAAGACACTGAACTGTCCAACTCTGCTGGAGGCATCCCAGGCTAGTGTGTGACACCATCCTGGGGCCCAGGGCAGAAGGCAGACCTGCTCTCGAGGTTTCCAAGGCTTCCATCTGACACGGACTCTAGATGCACCTGTGATATGTTTTATAGAAACAACTTTGCCAAAAATGCAGACAAGGGAACTGCTGCCCGGCCACCCCTAGGACCAGCTATGTCACAATCAGAATGCCAAATAAGCCCAGCAGAGGTTAGGAGAGATCCACTTAAAATAAGGGTGGACTTTTGACTTCTTCCCCCTGTAAACTTGTCATGAAATAGTTACCACCTGGTGGAATCGGCAGACAGGGCTGACCCAGCAGCAGAGGCTAACAACGACCCAATGGCTTGTCTGGACCCACAGTCTATGAAGCAGGAAAATATTAGCAATTATTCCAGTCTACAGGACTCTCTCACAGCAATGGGGATTTGCAGTTGAGTCCTGGTGGTTGCTCCCCGACGTGGGGGCTGTCGGAGCTCAAGCTAATGCAAAACATTTCAGTTTGTCGGGTATGTGTGTTCCATCTCCCAGCGCCTCTGCTGACAGCCCTCTGGGTGTAAATGGTCCAAGATGTCTGCATTCTCTGTCCGTTTCAAGTTGAAAGGAGAGCAAAAAAAAAAAAAAAAAAAGCGATTATATTTTTAGAAGCTGGGAGAGACAGACTGGATAGGGTTGAGAGTGAAAGCAAATTCCAGCGACCAGGCAAAACAGATGCTTTTCTCAAATGCAAATATTCTTCCACATCACAGGGAAGTCAGGCCCTGTTTGAGAAGGGATTGTGACAAGAATATTGAGCCGCCATCTCTTTTTCTTCATACTCCTGAGCAAATCCAGGTGATGGAGTGAAAAAACTTCAAGTCACTAACTAATTAAAAGATGGTTTTTTATGTGGCTTGACAGGGCCCTGCTGCCTGGGGTCAGGGAGGCAATCAAGAGACAACCAGACACCTGCTTCTCAAGGAACCAGCCTTGGTGAGGGTGGCGAGAATTCCTGTTGCAAAATACGAACAAACTAAGTGGCACAGGAGAAGAATGGTGTTTACTGGTGAAAAAATTTGGTCAATATTCTCTCGGCTTCTTATTTCAAGATCAAAACAATTTGATTTCTAAAATTCCACTGAATTCTTTCTACATACATATGTTTCTACTACAGTCTACCAAAAATTCCAGTTGACTGAAGCAGCATACATGAATAGGAAGCGTCGCCCTCTCCAAGGAAACTGAACTTCTAGGGGCAGCTGTGAGGTGTGCAAGTGCATGGGCTTTGGAGCTCAAAGCAAACACAAGGGGTCGGTGCTGTGGCATAGTGGGCTAAGCCTCTGCCTGCAATGCCAACATCCCATAGAGATGCTGGTTTGTGTCTTAGCTGCTCCTCTTCCGATCCAGCTCTCTGCAATGGCCTGGGAAAGCAGTGGAAGATGGCCCAGGTGCTTGGGGCCCTGCACCCATGTGGGAGACCCAGAGGAAGCCCCTGGCTCCTGGCTTCGGATCAGCTCAGCTCTGGCTGTTGTAACCATTTAGGAGTGAACCAGTGGATGGAGGACCCCTCTCTCTCTCTATCTCCCCTCTCTCTGTAACTCTATATTTCAAAATAATAAATAAAAATTTTTTTAAAAAAGACAAACAGAAGAGCCAAAGACAAGAGCTGGGGAGTCCATACAGGCCCTCCACGAGGACGGCAGGACCCCGATTGCTTGAGGGGACACTGCTGCCTCCCAGTGTGTGTGTTAGCCGGCAGCTGGAACCAGGAGCCAGAGCCAAGATATGAACCCAAGTACTCTGACACAGGACTGAACTGTCACTAGACCAGATACATTTTTCTTTTCCTTTTCATATTCTGATGACTACAGAGAGGGTCTGTTCAAACAGATAAACAACCTTGCTCATGAATTCCAGAAACTGCCTTGAGGAGGCCCAGCTGAAGTAGCAGAGTGACCTGGTCCACCCTGGCCGGCAGGACAGGAGGTTTCCATTGACTGTAAGGGAATGTGAAGTCCCGGGAATGGGTACCTAAGGACATGGCAGGCCCGGGCTCTGGGATGGCGGGCTTCATCCTGATGCACAAAACGTCAGAATCTTTTAACACAAGACTTCGCCTCTTTCAGATTTTGGCCTGATGTCATGTTGTGGCTGCCTGGTTGTGCAGAACACCATAAAGTCAACCCATCAAGCAAGTTTCTCAAGGAACTGTGCTGACGTCCAAGATGGTCTCACTGAGTGGGATGGCAGTTCTTGGGACCCGAGGTCTGCTAGCTTCTTCTCCCACTGGTAGATCAAACTTCCTCTCTCCCTTATCTTCAACCTTTGTCCTTGTTATTCTGATCTGATGAGGAGCGGACTTTCAGTATCAAATTGGGCTTCACCACTAGGCCAAACACCCGCCCCTGGAGCCACATCTCTCCACACTCCCTTCCCCGAGAGGTTCCAGGTGTGGGTAAGGAATGTCTCAATGGCAACTGCATCAGCTCTGTCACACCTGGGAGTCTCACGGGCCTCACTGGACACGCCCACTCTGGGAACCAGCCCAGGTGACTTCTCAGACGTCAGACGGGCTCACAGGTCCCTCGCTTTCTAGCCCTGAGCTCAGTGTCAGCCTTCAGATCACTGCTCCCCAGCCCCTACCACGTGCACAGACGTCCTGGTGCTTACAGGAAACCCTGCATTGCGGCAGAATAAGTTCACGGCTCTGCTCTGATCAGCCCCAGACGGGTACATCTTTCATCTCAAAGTTGTGAATGATGAAAAATAATAGCACCTCTTAGGGACTAGCTTCTAGTCTGACACAGCTGCCAGACACCAACATATTTTGGGAACAAAGGCACATGTCCAGGTAATTCTGAGCAGAACCTCCAAGCACCTGTGTGTTAGTAACTCTTCATAGATGTTAGGGTAGGAGGGAGCAAGAGCCCTGAAGGTTACACTCAATGCTGAGCGTGCTCACGGACTCACTTGCAAATGTTCACTGTTTGTCATTAGTCTGCTGTGACACTACGTAGGTCTGCAGGCCACTCAGTGTCGCTCCCCCCACTCGCGGAGGAACGACACCGGACCCTGCGCTGTTTTCTCTCCCCGGTCCTTCCCGGGTTTGCTGCCGCTCCCCCGCCTCCGCGGAGGAGCAGCAGCGGCGAGCTCTCCAACCGACTCTCTTAGGGGGGCACGGCGCACATGTTGTCTCTCTCCCCCTTTTAAGGGGTTGGGCCAGGAATCAGCTAATTAACGAAGCAGCTGTGTAAGATTTGTTTACTCTCTCAGCGCCATATGATGGGAGATCAGATGCATAGAGTTAGTCTTAATAGTCTCAGTGGTCTAGTCTAGTCTCGGTAGTCTCAGTACTTATTTCGCCATGTTGCGGGAGACAGGCCCTGCTCCCCACAACTTGGGGCTCTGCTGGATTCAGCAGAGGTTGGCTCCATGCTCCAGAGGGGATCTGGCTCTGCTCTGCGTGCCTTTCTTTCTGTAACCCAGCAGAAAGCAGCCTCAGTTGCTGGAGCACCCTCGTTAAAACAGATCAAGTTCTGTACAAGAACGCTGCAGCACAGAGGCAGCAGTACTTGACTGACTCCATCAGTACCAAACAAACCGGACTTCACAATCACCGCTCCCCCAGAATTCCTTGGTTCTTTATACAAAGGTTCTATTGGCACAAAGACTCAAAACAGGTAAAGCACAGTGATTATCTTGTGTCCTTGAACCAATGACCTCCAGAGTGAAGAGACCACACCCAAGGGTTAGATGAGATACTTCTTTGCAGGATGAGAAGAGATGTTACTAATGAAATATTTAAATTGATTGTATATTTATCAAAGCCACAGAGAAGAACTGTATCCTTCCAATGGTTACAGTATCACACGGTAGGGCATCTCCAACAGACCCATCTCCAGGCACCTCCCACTCCGGATCCCAAAGGCAGGATGGGAATTCTCTAATGCACAGGGCTCATTGACTTTTTAAGCTTAAGTCCTTCGCAACTGGAATTCCAGGAAACTGAATCTTAAAGACCCAAAACATCTACAGAATCTAACAGAGTTAGCTCACCCCTGTGCATCTGAAATGGTCTTAGCTAGGGACACCCTTGTTCCTCCCTTAAAAGAACATTATCCAAATCACTTGCTTAGAGATTAATTCAGTGGAAAATGGCTGGGTGAAACCATTCCACTGAACAACACGTTTTTTGAAAATCACAACAAGATGCAAACATTGACTTTTCCTTAGTTATATTTGAAGTCTGCATCTGGGACTTCACAAAATTTCAAAAGCAGTGTTTTAGCTACTAGTGGACCCAAAAAAGCCAATTAGCTATGGAAGGACACTTGTCTTCCCTCAACAAGAAAAACTGACTAAAAGTGCACAGAAAACATCAGGGCAACACACTAAGTCGCATCCGTTGGTCAGCAAGCACCATCGGAGTAGTCCCAGGAACACCATTGTAGACAGGAGCACTGGAACAAGCATTCTGCATATGACATTATGAACACATCCAGTACAGATGTTTCTCACGCATTTTAACTCACAGGATCAGTTTCAATAATGAAATCCACAAGGAAGTACTTTCAGCAAGTTGTAGGAGTAAAGATGTGATGTGGGGAGAGATACAATCTTAACAACTGATTTCTTTATTAAATACAATGTCTTAGGAGATTAAAAAGGAATTCTGGGCTACGACTGCCAAGACAGCATTGCCCACGAAGCATGCTTGCACACTGAATCATTCAGAGGCAAACCCTCACCGCAACGGTGCAGCAGTGAAATTGGGACTACAGAACGTCAGCGACCTTGCAAACCGCATAAAATGAAGGCCTTTAACATCAAGTAGAATCCTTACAATAGTTCAGAATAGAAGGGGACCGACCTTGAAATTCTTTTTGTGACACATAAAGATTTGTCTGGAATCTCACGGCAAAGTACTTAAACGATTTGTCAAATTTAAAGATGAGTTATAGACTTTTCTTTTACAAACAGACGAGTGTTTCAAATATGCTGACCTTTCCTGCAATGACAAGTGGCTGTCACTGCTTTGCAATCTAACAAACATCTTCATTTTCAAAAAAAAATGCCCAACCTGTCCACTCAAGGCAAAGATGACATTTAAACATAGAATGAAAAGAAGCTTTAAAAAAAAGCAGAAATGTGTGTTATAGAGGGAACAGTTTTTAAAAAAGATATCTGTAAATTTTTCTGAAAAGTGCAGATTTGTTTCCAAATTGTGTATTTTCCCTCTAAAAACTCTGCTGGTTCCATATTTTTAAAACTTGGGAACATTTTCTTACCACTAGACAATCTTCCAAATGAAGAGTATCAGCAGTTTAGAAACAAACTGTTCAAAATATACAAGCACAAAAACCTGATTAGTTTTCAAAAGACCACTAAAGATCACCAAGGAGGAATAAAACTTTATAGGAAGATTGCAATAAAAATTTTTATAAAGATGATGGACAGATTGAATAATGTATACTCTGATTTGGCAGTATAGCCCTGAATTTATTCTATTCCATTCAGTTTAGAATAAATCTGTTGCAATTAAGCCAGCTCTTATTTATTTATTTGAAAGGCAGAGTTAGAGGAAGATAGGAAGGGAGAGAGAGAGAGATACAGAGGGAAAGAGGGAGAGAGAAGAGGTGGGGGAGAGGGAGAGAGAGGGAGAGACAGACAGAGAGAGAGAGAAAGAGATTCCATCTGCTGGTTCACACCCCCAAATGGCTGCAATGACTGAGACTGGGCCAGGTAGAAGTCAGGATCCTGGAACTCCAGGACTCGAACTGGAGCTCATATGGGATGCTGATGTCTCAGGCAACGGTGGCCCAACCCACTGCACCACAACACCAGCCCCTAAGCCAGTTCTGACCAACAAAACTGGCAGTGTTGTATCATTCAATGATATGTGAGTAGATGTTTGAGTAGCATATAGGGGCCTACACTCTCATGGCGGGGCCACTCAGCTCACTGAAGATTCCAGGGTAGCAACAGGAACTCCAGGGAGCCAAGGATTCTGTGCCTCACTTCCTGCAGAACACAGAACTGCACACTCTGGCTCCATGCCTCTGGATGCGATGGTAGAAGAGAAGCAACAAGGGGCATCCAAGCAGATGGGCCAAGACAACCTGCACAATGACAGGAGAACATAAAAGTTTCTGATTGACAGAGAGGGATCAACAGTTGGAGTGCAGAAAGATGTATTAGTGGGACTGGAAGTCTGGGAGGCAGTGATCTGTATGAATCAATGACCAAGAACCAGGCAGGATGAGATGTGTGGTGGTGCAATGGGAACCACTGACATTAAGCTTTGCCCCCTGCACTGCCCTATCCTTGGACACTCTGCACTTTCACAGCTTCCTTGAACTTAGATGCAACCTACATTCAAAGGAGGAGAAACTCAGAAATGGCAGAGAGAAAGTTTCCACTGCTCAGCCCAATGCAAAACACAAACTAATTGAGTTAAAAGCAGGGAGGAGGAATTGCTTTTCTTGCTTCCCTGGAAGTCTAGACTGAGATACCAACATCTGGCCTTCGGAGGAGGCTGGGGGCCCAGTCTTCCTGAAGGAGGTGGTCCATCCTTATCCTACATGAGAATTCCTTGAGAGCCGCCTCAATCGAGGGGGAAATGGGACATTTCCCAACCACAGGAAGAGCTTTTGCAGGACACCCTCACCTTAGAATAGGAAAGAAAAGAAAGAAGATTTGGAGGCAGAAGTGGGTAAAGGGCTCCGTGTTTGTTCAGGTGCCACAGCTTTAGAACAAGCGCTCCAATTTATCACTTCTCTTACCCCACACCCCTAACTTTAAATTCTTCAAAATAAACGCAGCATTTTATTAGAGGACAGACTTTTCAGAGCTGAAATAGCAGGAGACACAGGGCTTCCATATATCTTCCCATCTTCACTGGCAGAATTTCCACTGGGGAGAGACAAACACAAAATATGGCCATAATCAGAAGTATTGATTCCAGCACTGGAAACATTTTTCATCAGTCCCTGAAATTAAATAGTCAGGCAAGGATAGCAACCTAGAGCACGCATTCCTGTTGACTGCAGCTATAAAAACCCGATCCAGTTTTATGGACTGTGGATTTTCAGGAAACTCACTTGTGTTTGCTCAAAACTATCTCTCTCTAGGCACCCACTTTTCAGGTTCGTGAACTCAATGGCACGGCCTCTGCGTGGCAAGCTCCACAGCCAATCCCCCATGCTCTGGGGAAAGCCATTTGTAGGCAACTTCCAGGATGCTTCCTGATTTTAGGGGCTACCTGGAGGCTGCACAAGTTCCTGGTGGGCAGGTGAGTGAGCTGGTGGTATCCACCTTGTCTTGCCAAGCATAGGTGACTTGATACTCAGCACTGCATCTACAAGATGAAATCCTTGCTTTCATTGATCTTACCATCTAGCTGGGATTATAAACACATAGACGGGCACCTCAACACCCTGTAAGGAGGGCTGGGATGGCAAGACATTCCATGTGTGAGAGAAGTTCCAGGCTGCAGGGGAAGGCTTTCAGGGAAACGGAAGGCTTCCCAGAGGAGGTGGTGTCCAAGCCAAGTCACTGAGGTTCAACGGGAATCTCGGCAGAGCCAATAAAGCAGGCGAAGCTGGAGGCCTAAAAGTCTTCAGGGGATCTGCAAGGGTTAAGTATTTGGAGGAGGTACACAAGGGGGCTTGCCCCAAGAAAGTTTATTAAGGGCCAGTTTATGAGGGTACCTCAAAAGGTGTGTGGAAGGTCAGGTGTTATGGGACACGGGGTTAAGCTACAGCCTAGGACGTCTGCTTCCTGTTTCAGAGTGCTTGGGTTCAAGTCCCACCTGCACTTCCAATCCAACTTCCTACTAACATGTACCCTGAGAGGCAGAAGGTAATGGCTCAAGTACTTGGGTCCCCGTCACCCACATGGGAAACCCAGACAGAATTCCCAGCTCCTGGCTTGAATCTCAACCAGCTCCAACTGTTGTGGGTATTTGCAGAATAAACCAGTGGATGGAAGGCCTGTCTCTGTCTCTCTCTCTCTCTCTCTCATTGACAGTATGCCTTTCAAATAAATAAAATGAATTAAAAAATGGTAAAATATGTGGGAAAATGAATTTTTTTCAGAGTTTCATGATAGGGAAATGATAATATTTGAAGAGAGAAATATATTTATCCTGATTGGACATTCATGTACTGAAACATCACATAGTACTCCATAAACATATACAATTTCTATACATGTTAAAATTTTTTAAAAAATGTTAGTGGAATTAAAAAGTAAGTTTAAGGGGCAGGTGTCTGGTGCAACAGTTGAGAAACTACTTGAGATGCCCACATCCCAGATCAGGGTGCCTGGGTTCAAGTCCCAGCCCACCTGTGACTGTAGCTTCCTGCTAACGCATGCCCTTCGAAGCAGCAGGTGATGGCTCAAGTGGCTGCATCCTTGCCATCCACGTGAAAGAGACCTGAATTGAGTTCTGAATTGAGACCTGAATTGATCCTGGCTTTGGCTGGCCCAGCCCCAGCTGTTGCAGGCATTTGGGGAGTAAATCAGTAGATGAGAGATCTCTTGTTTCTTTCTCTACATCTTTCAAGTAAATAAATACATACATACATAACCTTGTAGTTCATTTTGCTGCACAAAAATTGAAATTCATGCATAGTTTTTTAAAAAAGATTTATTTATTTATTTGAAAGGCAGAGTTACAGAGAGGCATAGACAGAGAGAGAGAGAGAGAGAGAGAGAGAGAGAGAAAGAGAGGGCTTCCATCTGCTGGTTCACTCCCCAATTGGCTACAAAGGCCAGAGCTGCGCCAATCAGAAGCCAGGAGCAAGGAGCTTCCTCTGGGTCTCCCACGTGGGTGCAGGAGCCCAAGGCCTTGGGCCATCTTCTGCTGCTTTCTGAGGCCACAGCAGAGAGCTGGATTGGAAGTCGAGCAGTCAGGACTGGAACTGGCGCCCATATGGGATGCCAGCACTGCAGGCGGCAGCTTTACCTGCTACGCCACAGCACCAGCCCCCTGCATAGTTTTTTCATAATATACATTTGCCTTAAACTTTATGAAGGTCCCTCATATATACTAATAAAAATATTTTTGTACCAAAAGTAACATCTTTAACTCCATTTTTCAAAAGTTTCTTAAAAGATTATTTTATTTATTTGAAAGGCACAGTGATGGAGATAGAGGGAGGGAGAAGAGAGAGAAATCTTCCACCCACTGCTCCAATCCCAAATGGCCACAATTGGCAGAGTCTGGGTCAGACTGAATCCAGGAGCCACCAGGTCCCCTAGATGGGTGCAGGAGCCCATGCACTTGGGCCATCCTCCACTGCTCTCCTAGACACATTAGCAGGGAGCTAGATCAGAAGTGGAGCAGCCAGGACAGAAACTGGCGCCCATATGGGATGCCAGCACTGCAGGTGGCAGCTTTACCAGCTGCGCCACAGCGCTGTCCCCTGGCATGAGATATTTTTATGCACCCAAATCAGAGCTATTGAATTTTACATTGACACTGATGGTCTGGCCCTGAAAGTCTCCACTGTGATCATGTCTGAATTGTCCAGAGGACTCTCAGCTACGATTCTGGAATTGTGATGGCTTACATGCACAAATGGCTCATCTTCTCAGCTCCCCAGCCAGAATAACGTGCCAGCCAGTCCCAACCGTCAACTGCAGAGAGAAACTCTGCCCTGAAAAGCCATCACCTGTTCACTCCTCTGGCACGGCATCCTGGTGCACAGACTGCTAGCAACAGGGGGTAGGGCTGGGGCTGGCGCTGCAAACCAGTGTGCACTGATCCCAGTCCCTCTGCATGGGGCAGGGCTGTCACTGTCCGCTGAGAGCTCTCAGGGCAGACAGGCTCCTCCAGCACAGAAAGCCCAGGATTCCAGGACTTTGCTCACTACCTCCTAAGAGCAAAAGCTCCTGTCCCTTCTACCATCTGTCAGTTGAGGCACCAAGGTTACAACCTGCACAGATCCTAAGGCAATGGCTAAATACAACAAGACCCTTTTAAGAAAGTGATGCCTACTTTTGGCTGATTCCCTGGAGTCACCTGGGGAGCTTTAAAAGCGACTGATGCCTGCACTGCCATGTCAGAAATTCTTCATTAATTGGTTTCACTGTGTCATGGGCACTGGAGTTTTAAAACTTCCCTAGAGTGTGTTTTTCATGTGTGGCCAGGGCTCAGAAGCACCAAATTAAGGAGCTTCAGCAACCTGAGGGAGAAGGCAAAGTTTAACAAGGGGAGCAGATGACTATTACCAAAATAGAGCTAACGGAAGAGTCAGATGAACCTAAATGAAAAATAAATGAGAACTCCTAAAGGCATTCAGTTTAACAAAGAACAAAAGATTTTCTAGAAGGAGAATACTTATTTCTGAAATTACAAGTGCAATAGACGAAGTGAGAAGAGAATATTCTTTGCTAAAAAGCAAATTACTTGGGCTGGTGCCACGGCTCAATAGGCTAATCCTCCACCTTGCGGTGCCGGCACACCGGGTTCTAGTCCCGGTCAGGGCGCCAGATTCTGTCCCGGTTGCCCCTCTTCCAGGCCAGCTCTCTGCTGTGGCCCAGGAGTGCAGTGGAGGATGGCCCAAGTGCTTGGGCCCTGCACCCCATGGGAGACCAGGAGAAGCACCTGGCTCCTGCCTTCGGATCAGTGTGGTGCGCTGGCCGCAGTAGCCATTGGAGGGTGAACCAACAGCAAATGAAGACCTTTCTTTCTGACTCTCTCTCTCACTGTCCACTCTGCCTGTCAAAAAAAAAAAAAAAAAAAAGCAAATTACTATTCTGGAGGGTCAAGTGGAAGAGGTATATTATAAATAATGTAGACTTCACAAGAAATTAAGCAAAAGGACTTGGAAGAAAGATGCAGGATATCTGAATGCAAATAATAAAAGTTTCCTAACGGGAGAAAACAGATGGAGAAGTGAATAAGGAAATCAAAAACGTTTTGAATCTTCAGATTAAAAAGAGCATCAGGGGGGCCAACACTGTGGGTGAAGCCACTGCTGGATACCAGCATCCCACATGGGCACCGGTTCAAGTCCCAGCTGTTCCACTTCCAGTCCAGCTCCATGCTAGTGGCCTGGGAAAGCAGCTTAAGATGTGCCAAGTGCTTGGGCCCCTGTACCTACATGGGGGATCCAGATGAAGCTCCTGACTCCTGGCTTTGGCCTGGCCTAGTGTAGGTTGTTATGGCCATCTGGAGAGTAAACCAGTAGATGGAAGATTTTTCTCTGTCTCTGTAATTCTGACTTTCCAAAAAAAAAAAAAAAAAAAAAAAGTAAATAAAGGGCAACAGAGTCCCCAAGTAAAATTAATTATACTTTTTGAAAAATGTTATATCCCTAATAACATTTCCTGATGGTTCCTGAATTCCAATTATAGAAAAGAGAATCTTACATGCTTATAGTAATAAATGACAGCTTACTCACTATGGAAAAAGGATAAGTGAACATCAGACACCTTGTCTTCAGTACTGGAGGTGAGAGTGTGGAAGAATGTTTGAAGATACCGCATTCCAAGGATCTTATACCCAGCCATGAGATAAGGCATCTGTCAAGGCAAAAGGGAGATATTTTTGGACATGCAGAGAGTTAGAAAGTCTACAGAGAAATACAGATAATTCCAATATTAACCTTTCTCCGATCATAGAGAAAGAAACCTTTTCAAATCCATTTAATCGAGTTTGCTTGACTGTTCTAGAAAACATACATATATGTATAGATATAGATATAGATAGATATATAGATATGGACAGGCTATCATAAAGCAAAGAAATAAACAAACTAGGTTAACTATGAATATAGATAACATTGGCAAATTTAAATCTGGCACTATATTAAAAAATAATATGTTATGACTATGAAGATTTTATTCCAGGAATGTAGATGGTTCAATTCCCAAATGAATACATTTTTAATAAGTTGATTTTTTCAGAATTTAGGTAATTTAAGTCATAATCCCAAAAGAATTTTTTTGAAGGTTTGGTCAAACTGATTCTAACATTTACATAGAGAAAGGCAGACTTACTAGAATAGTCCAAATGATTTAGAAGAAGCATAAAGAAAACATACTACTGATTTTAAGACTTACTTTTAGTAAAACCACAGTAATTAAGACACAATGAGAGTCCAAAGACAGATGCACACAGACATGACCAACTGACTTTTTACAAAAGACACAAAAGAAAATTAAGTGAAGCATCATACTCTTGTCAAAAAAGTCATTGACGTCCATATGCAAAACAGTGAATCCCAATCTAACCTGCTGGTGTAAAAATAGATCATGTTTCCAAGTGTAAAGCTAGGAAGCTTCTAGAAGGAACAATAGAAGAAAATCTTCATGGCCAGTGCTGTGGTGTAGAAGGTAAAGCCGCTGCCTGCAGTGCTGGCATCCCTTATGGGCGCCAGTTCAAGTCCCAGCTGCTCCACTTCTGATCCAGCTCTGTTATGGCCTGGGAGAGCAGTAGAAGATGGCCCAAGTCCTTGGGTCCCTGCACCCATGTAGGAGACCCGGAATTCCTGGCTCCTGGATTTGGATCGGCGCAGCTCCAGCCATTGTGGCCAATTGAGGAGTAAACCAGCAGATGGAAGACCTCTCTCTCTCTCTCTCTGTATAACTCTTACTTTCAAATAAATAAATAAATAAATAAATCTTAAAAAAAAGAAGAAGAAGAAAACCTCCAAAGCCTCAGGTAAACAAAAACCCACAGACATGGAACAAGCAGATGAACTTTTAAACAAAATAAGTCATAAGAATCCTCAAAAATATGCAATTTAACACAATAATTTATTAACTAAATTTATTAAATTAAATTACACAAATATTGTTACTACATGCAATGACTTTAAATAGGTTTTTTTTGTAGTGATACACAAAATAAGGTTTTGTCAGTAGCTTGGGGAAAATACTTTTTCTGTTAAATTTTTTTACTCTCCTATTATAAGGATTAAACATGGAATTTCATAATATGCCTTCTCACGTTGCTAAATGTGATTTGCTATAATCGCATCATTCTCTCCTTTACAGTGCTCATATAATACACTATATAAATGATGCTGGAGTAGAGAATTGTTTATATCACTGCTGTTATTCAATTTTGTTTTCCTAATATTCTAAGACAAAATACTCAGCACTAATATTAACGGTGAGGAGGGAAAATTAATTTCACTTGGAGATCGTATGCTCACATACTTGGAAAAAAACCAAAAATCTCTGGTAAAAAAATCTATTAAATTTCATGAGAGAACTGAATAAAGCAGTAATACAAAAGATAAATTTATGTTGCTGGCAGAGTTTTTCTTAACATGCTGAGTGAAGTACAAACATTAAGCGTCTTTATTTTTATTTAATTAGGGGCTTTAATAGCATTTTGTTAAATCTTTATTTCCTATATCTTTCACTGGGTAGCATTCATGGATCTTTTTGTTTTGTTTGTTTCTTTTCAGGTAAAAATAAAAGCACTCGAGCTAAGTGCTAAAATTACATAGCAAAAGATAATGAATCTGTCATTACATTGTAAACATTTCTGTATGTTCCTATGCAAAGTTAAAATAGTCACTGGAAACTATTATGTTCCATAATGCAATATTTATGCACCATAATTTAATGAAATGTTCCCTAGCTTGGGGACTTGAGGGTTCTGGCCAATGCCTGGCTGCTAGACATCATCTTTTGGAGTATATGAGTCTATATTTTGGAGGTTTCTCCTTAGCATAAATTCCTAAGTATGTGTGACTGCTTTAACATTTTTTTCCCTAAAAAGTCCTTTCTAAGAAGGCTGTACAACGTGCATTGCTATTCATTTAGCAAATGTGGGTTGAATACTCCTCTCCCACCATTCTGAGTGTACACAGGACCACAGCTCGGTTTTGCTATCATCCTTATCTCATTCCTCGTGTCTGCATGAAAAGGTGGAAAGTGTGCAGGGGTCAGCAGGGCCTCTGCTTCTGAAATCGTGCTCATTATATAATTCCTGCTGAGTCAGAGTCTGGTTTAGGACCTCGTCTGACAAATAGCTGTAGAGGAAGGGACTGGGCCTTTTGTCCCATGCACACTAGGTGGCTTCTGTGGTTGACATCACTCTCAGTCGGGTTTAATCAGAGTTTTTACTGGAATTTGCTAGTTTTGGAAGACGCCTCAGGAGCAGATAAAGGAACAGTGCAGTGGGGCAGAGGCCTAGTTCTTCTCCGTGAGAAGAGAGGGATGAGTGTGACCGGCAGGCATACAGCGGGCCCAGGAGCAGTTGCAGCATGAGACAGGCTGGCATCAGCACTCCAGCCCTGCTGCTGCTGAACTGAGCTGTCACCTGCACAGAATGCATGCGGCCACCACTTAAGGGCTCTGGAAAGTAAACGGTGGCAGCAAGATCCGTAAGTAAAAATTCAAGTCCCAGTGAACCAGCCGTGCCATTTTACTTTCCCACAATATTCCCTGGTCTGAACTCAGTGCAGCCCAACAAATGGACGTGGGTACCTGCGTGGACAAAGACAGCCCCAGGAGGAGCCCTCCATCCACCTTAAGAGTGAGAAGGGGATCGTCTAACCGCTCCGAGAGAGAGAGAGAGAGAGAGAGAGAGAGAGGAAACCCTCCCTACCTCCCCTTGTCCGTCCTCTCACACTGCAGCTTTCAGAGATTCTGAAAACAGTGGCAAGTGATTGTTCGATCCTAAAACCCTCATGAAGAGCCCTGAGCCCACATGTGTAGGGGAACCCCTTTGGCTTTTTTTCTCCCTCGTTCTACTACTTGAACCCAGACGTGGGTGTGCCTGGGAGGAGGGTGTGGCAGAACAGAATAAATAAAATGCCAGGTTCTGTCTGAAGGGCTTAAAAAAGGGAGCAACTAGGAACTCAGTACTAGGAAGTCCCAAAGGGCAGAGCTCAAGAAAATCTCCCACATAAGTTGGTTACGACGCTTGAGCCCAGGCACAATCTGTGCACGCACGGATTTGACCCTAAACAGCACCCCATAGACTTGGAGAACTGAATCATGGGACACACCACCCCTCAGAGACCAGATAAACCGGAAGAGACACATGTGAGACAGATACAGGCAGCACTGCAAGAATGTGAAAATGTCACGGACATTGAAGCCATAGCCTACAGAGACTGTTCAGAACTTGTAAAAGGCTGATTGTGGAGCATCACAAAAACATCACCACTCTGCATATGATTAAAGTGCAGAATTTCCCAATGTAAATGTTCAAAATGTCCAGCATGTAATCGCAAAGTGTGTGACATATGATAAGCCAAGGAAATCGTGATTCTTCGTGGAACAGGCAATCAGCATGTGAAAACACCAAGATGACACAGAAGCTGGGATTATCTGATGAAGACTTAACAGGTTTTATAAAAATGGTGCAACAAGTTGGAACACTCTTGAAATGAGTGCAAAGATAGCAAACCTCAGCAAGAGACAGAAAAAAAAATCCACAGTTAACACCACACGCAATGGGGAAAGACTAAAAGCTTTCCCCTTAAGACCAAGAAGAGCCAAAATTCCTGGCTTCAAAACTTCTACAAAGCTAATAAAAACAATAAGGTGCTGGCATAAGGACAGATATATTGAACAATGGAATAGCATTCTATATCCAGGAATCCCCATAGAGCCATGGGAAATTGATTTAGGGCAAGGATGTCATGAGCATTCAGTGGAGAAAATAACCAGTCTTCAGCTATGATCTTCAGACAACTGAATGCTGAGATGCAGCAGAATGCGGCTGGGAATTTACTTCATGGAATACATAAAAATTAACTCAAAATGAACCACAGGCCTAAATTTAATAGATAGAAGTATAAAACTCTTAGAAGAAAACTTGGGGGCACACATCCGCATGGCTTGGATGTAACAATAGTTTCTTAAATTTGACACCAAAAATCCAGACAACAAAATAAAAAGTAGATAGGATTTCATCAGTTAAAAACATGGATGCGGCCAGCGCCGCGGCTCACTAGGCTAATCCTCCGCCTTGCGGCGCCGGCACACCGGGTTCTAGTCCCGGTCGGGGCGCCGGATTCTGTCCCGGTTGCCCCTCTTCCAGGCCAGCCCTCTGCTGTGGCCAGGGAGTGCAGTGGAGGATGGCCCAGGTGCTTGGGCCCTGCACCCCATGGGAGACCAGGAAAAGCACCTGGCTCCTGGCTCCTGCCATCGCATCAGCGCGGTGCGCCGGCCGCAGCGCGCCGGCCGCGGCGGCCATTGGAGGGTGAACCAACGGCAAGGGAAGACCTTTCTCTCTGTCTCTCTCACTGTCCACTCTGCCTGTCAAAAAAATAAAAAATAAAAAAATAAACAAACAAACAAACTAACAAAAAAAACATGGATGCATCAAAAGACATTCCAAGAAAGTGCAAAGGCCACAGAATGGAAGAAACTATTCACAAATCAAATATCAGATGACAAACTTGCATCTAGAATATATAAGGATATTTCACACCTTGACCACAAAATGATAAACTACCTAATTTAAAAATAGGCAGAGGATGTAGACATTTCTCCAAATAGACACAAATGGACAGCAAAGCACATGAAAATATGCTCAATGTCATTAGTTTTCA